CCCCAAAACCCCAAAACCCCAAAACCCCAAAACCCCAAAACCCCAAAACCCCAATAATTATATTTTTAAATGAAAATAGTCATAAATAAGATTAATATAATTCTTATCTGATGCCTTTTATACATATCCAAAGCAGACAATCCAGTTAGATGAACACTTCATGAAATTATTGGAGATTGGACTTTCGTCCTCTCCACAGATACTTTCAAACCTGATTTACACTCACAAAAGATTACTTGTGGTAAAGGACAGCCTGGGAAAATCCCTAAAATTAATAAAGATCATAAATTCGAATTCAAATCTTCTAGAAATTTGGATCTCAAGCTCACAAAAGACAACAGAGCAATATCCTCTACAAATTCAGGAGCTTTCACAATTCTTCTTCAGGAAGGAATTTTGGTCACAATTGGGAATCTAATTCTGAATGCATCCTTCAGATACAACTATGTTGGGGATAATAATGGGAGGATGTCCGGAGAACTCTATGAGTCCATCTGCTCCCAGACCATGGTTGGTAAGGAATTACAAGCCTAATATTTAGGATGGTATCATACCAAAGATAATACAGTATGGGGATGATTCTATGCGTACAAAAATAGCAGAACACCTGAAGACTTTGGGAGAAATAATCATGCAATAATTGATCTTGACGGAATACTCTATACTCCAGAGACCTTAAAGGATGAGAGTTATTGGGATGGTGATGAACCTTCGTCTCATTTTAGTATTTATGAGACTAGAGTAAGCCAAGCTACTGCAAACCCAGGAATGCCTTACTTCGATCCCTTTAGTTTAGTAGGCAGAGAGCCCAGCTCAATTGCAGAACATGAGCTTCCTGAGTACCTAAACTGGGCAGATGTTAATGGAGAATCTTATTTTCCAGAAATAATATCACAACAATGTGGAGAATGCTACATTGAAGCATTCTTACATGCTTATGAGTCTCGAACGAGGATCCTCTCTCGTAACAAATTTCAGCCAAGAATCAGCAGGGAGCAGATCCTTGGCTGCAACTTCTATTCTGAAGGATGTGATGGTGGTCTGCCAATCGCTGCTGCAAAGTTTGCTAATGAATTCTTCATGGTTGATGAAGAATGCTATTCCCAAAAGTGTATCCATCCTACCAATATTTCTGAAACAATCAGAGATGATGTCTGCTGTGATAAATGAGACAATGAAAGAATTAAATACAAAGTTGATCAATACGGATATGTAGGAGGATACTATGGAGCTTCTACAGAGCTTGGAATCATGCGAGAAATAGCAGCCAGAGGGCCAGTCTCTGCTGTCCTTAATGCTCCTGATGATTTCCTCATGTACATTGGAGGAATAGCTTATCTAGCTACTCCTGTAAGAAATAGTGAGATAAGTAGGATCTCTGATTATGCATTCAGCTATTTTATTTCTGCCTCAAAGAACAAAATTAGTAAAAATACCATGCGAGATCTTGATCTTGAATTTGAATATGCTAACCACTCTGTTGTCATACTTGGATGGGGCTACGACGAAGAACTTGACCTAGAGTACTGGATCTGAGCTAACTCTTGGGGTAAAGATTGGGGTGAAAAAGGGTATTTCAGAATTGTTAGAGGCACTAACGAAATGGGAATTGAGACAGCAGCAGAGTATTTCACAGTTTTAGTTGAAATCGAGGGCATTCCTGAAATATTTTAAGCATTAAGTCGTTGGAATATATTCATACCAAATTAATTTTCAATTCATAAGCTGAGAAAGGGGTTTTGGGGTTTTGGGGTTTTGGGGTTTTGGGG